CAAATTGTGCATAGTGTCCATCTGGAGGATGGAATGAGATTGGATGGGGAAGAGCAGTCACAGAGGATTTTCATGTTTAATTGTATATGTACCTTTTTGAAACTTTTAAATAATAGTATGTTTATACTTTAATGTGAAAGTCAGTTTTTGATAATAGGACTCAGAAATTCAACCAGAGGGATGCCTGGGTGGCTCAGTCGGTTGTGTCTGCCTTTGGCTCAGGTCATGACCCCAGGGTCTTGGGATCAAGTCCTGCATCTGTCTCTCTGCTCAGCGGGGAGCCTCTTTCTTCCTCTGCCCCTCCCCCAACTTGTTATCTCAATCTCTTTCTCTCTTGCTCTCTTGCTCAAATAAATAAATAAAATCTTAAAAAAAAGCAACTCAACCAGATTGAGATAAATAACCAATAAGCAAACAATAACAAGCCTTCCTCTTCATCTTGTCCCTCACTCGCTGTGAACTTTTCCTTGCCAGTCGGAGTGAGATAAGTGGAACCCGAAGTCTCTAGCAACTGTCCTCACTTCCTGCAACTGCAGTAAAAATCCTTGGAACAACTACTCCAAACATAGGATTTTCACAGTTCTATTGAGTCCTGAAAGCCCTATAAAAAGGCATTAAAATAATTATAAAATATAATCATATCATAATTGTGATATAACATAGCATAATACAATTGATATAATATAATATTTTTAAAAAGGAACTAACTGTAAAGGGAGGTACCGTAAGTGATACCAGGATGGAAGAATGGTCCTAGCTCCTCCCCAAATCTCACATCTTGGATTCCTGGCTACTATGTTTTGGGTATTTTTACTTGAAAGGTGATGGGAGAGATGTAGGAGATTATTGAATTCCTGGACAGTTAACTCTTCCCCGGATTATTTACTTTTTGGATTATTCCTAGCACCTTTTAAATTCCAAAGGGATTTTCCCCAACCGTGAAACATTCTTCTGAGTCATCAACCCACCTTCAATTGGTAGGAGTTCAAGGAATGCAAATTCATTTTCTATTAGCCTAAACAAACACAATTAGAAAGGAAAAATCCCTGAGGCAAAGAACACCTATCAAAGCCAGATATAAATTACCTTTTGACCACGGTAATCAGGGAAATAAATGAGAAACCAACGTAATTATCTTTTTAATCTCTAGAGGAAAATGTTTTAATGTTTTCTTTTATAGATTTCTTAAGCATTTTATAATCCTAGGTTCTTTTATATTCATTTTAAATCACTGTTCTTCAACCTGAGCTCATTCTCTTTGTGGGCAGCAATGAAAGTAAATGAGCTAACCTCAGTCATTCTAAATGTGCTTCCCATCCTTGCCAATGCACGGACATGATAATCTTATGCTTTTTAATTTAATTTAATTGTTTGCATATATATTCTTTTCACACTGATTTATTATTCTTAACATCACTTTGATATTTTATAATGATAGCTACCATGTCTACAATGAGGCATGCACCTTATTAAGAATTTTATACATATAGCAGGGCGCCTGGGTGGCTCAGCCGTTAAGTGTCTGCCTTCGGCTAAGGTCATAATCCCAGAGTTCTGGGATCGAGCCCTGCATCAGGCTCCCTGCTTAGTGGGAAGCCTGCTTCTCCCTTTCCCACTCCCCCTGCTTGTGTTCCCTCTCTCACTATTTCTCTCTGTCAAATAAATAAATAAGATCTTTAAAAAAAAAAGAATTTTATACATATATTATTTCATTTAATCCTCACAACAACCCTACAATTTAGATATAATTATTCTTAATGTATAAATGAGGAAATTGAGAAGTTGTTAGTGGTGGAACTGGGATTTAGTGATTTATTTTTAAAAAGTATTAGAAATAATAGAATACTGTATGTGAGACTTCCAATGGCCTCATTCCCAAATCCACCATCAATCTGTAATGTCATACTTTCTCTTATCATGTTGAGATATTACAGTTTGCATAGCTGATTCTCTATTGTTAGGCATTTTTGGTTATTTCTGATTTCTTACAGTGATAATAATATCACATGAAAATTTTTTTGTAACCGTAATCATCCTGGGTCCCCATGTAGCTCAGTTTCTACAGAACCACAGAGCACTGCCTAAAAGTAATTTTAAAATGAATTCCAATTTTCATTTCGTGTTTTTAAAGAAAAATCACAGCAGAACCAGTTTAAAACTCTTGACAGTATTTATCAGGTCTCCCTTTGTTAAATAACAGAAATTCAACTGAGTAATTTAAAAGACTAAATTGACTCTGTTGATCAATTTGTGAATCAGGTAGCATCCTATCTAGTAAATAGAAAGGAGCTCTGTTGAGCTACAGAAAAGGACAGGTTTTGAAAGGTAGAGAGAACCTAACAATGGAAATTATTAGCAAAGAACACATTGTTTTAGGTAAGGTTGCTTTCCTAAGGGGAATGGAAGGAGTCTGTTGGTAAATTTCCTAGTGCTGACTAGGAAATTCCATGTTGACTGGTTAAAGGTTATATTCCTGGGAGATATATAATACTACAATTAGGTTAGTATTAAATCTTGGTTTGCTAACATGGGGCCCTTAACATAAATGACTCCATTTTGGACTATGGTTTTCTTTTTAATACCTTCCTTCGTTCCTCAGTTCTCTCACAGTCTCTAATTACTGTCGAGGCAATGGCATTCTGAACCCCCAAACTCCCAACAAGCCAAAAACCTAACTGCTTTTCTCTCTCTTCACACTTCCCCCTTGGCTCTTGATTTTATAGATCAGTGTGGTTTCTCTGGCATGGTTCTTCCCCTGGCCCAAGTCATTCTGCTCTGGCTTCTCTCTTCATTCTAATAATCCATCCCAAAAGGAAAGAAAACCCCCATTGTGAGAGCTGGAAATATGAATTGTGCAGAAATAGGGAGAGGAGAAATCAGGAAACACTCGCACATGAATAGATTTTATTCATTTATTTGTACGTTGAGGTTTTGGGTTTTTCTTCCCTGCCACGAGCCCACTATCAAGGCCCCTACATGAGTTGTGTCTTTCCACAACGTCAGAATTCCAAACTCAATGACATGTTACTGTGCATTTAACTTGGCTTCATACACAACACACAAAACAAAGTACCATACAAAATCACACAACAGAGAAGCTATAACAAGGGGCAAGAAGTTACTGAACCAAATGCGAGGTCAGTCCCTGAACGCACAATTGAGGTAAGGCCTCGGTCCAGTCTAGGTCAGCTCTCAGCTCATACTGCTTATTATGTTCAAGCAGTGGAGAATCTCTCTGATGTTTAAGATCAATCAGGCAAGGCCTTCGGTCAGTACAGTCAAGTGGAAGGCTCAGTGTCTGCAGAGTCTGACAGTCTGCTGCAGAAATCCTCTGTTTAAAGGAGTTTAATCAGTCTGGGGCCTTTGCAAGACTCTCCTGGTTCTAGTGATTATCAGCTCTTGGTTCTTCCAGGTTCTCCAGCCTTACTGATTATCAGTTCTTAGTACTGCCAGTCTGTGCTGGTTTTAGTGATATCTGGTCTCAGCTGCAACATCCTTGGCTGCTTACGTCCCTGCTTGACATGAGTGACTCCATCTTGCTCGCTACATCCCCCCCTTGAATAATAGTTTCTAAACTGAGATTCCTGGATCATGAAATAGATCTATAATAGTGAATAGTTTTGATCAAGAAGTCTTCTTGCCAATTAAAAAAATACATCATATGACTATAATGAAGTTGACTTGTCATGCTTTATATGCCTTGTTAGGTAGTCAGTGTATTTTATGATTACAACTAAAGTTCCTTATAAAATTCTCACTAGCTTATGACAACCATAGAAAATATCTATATGTGAAATGCAATAGTATACAAAATACAGGTCGCTCTAAACTTTCCTATTTTTCTTCTCTAAAATGGGCTAAGGAAAAAAAGAGAGGTTTAGACCTCCAGTAAAGTGGCTCATTCGATTGGTGGGTGTTCCCATAAGAGCCTTTCTTTTGGTTTTGGCCAGCCCTCGAATTCTTATCTTTGATCAGTCATTGATCTTGGGACTGATTTAGGGTTATCTCTGGGGAAAATAGTGAAGTAACCAAAGCTTTTGTTTGGCATGCCCCAGATTACTCTGGCATCTACTTCGTGTCTCTGGCACTTCCCCCCGCCCCACCCCCCAGGTCTTCCTATTGACATATTCTCTCCAATCAATCATTTACACATTAGTGGGACTTTAACCCTTCTCAGGGATATTTGCATAGTATACCTTATCTCCAATGGTGAATGCAAAGCTTTGTTTCTGGTCCTGGAGTTTGGCACTTAGGAGCTAATACAGAAACTCTGGCCAGAGAGGGACTGCCCAGGTGCTTTCTCTTGGGGGGAAAAAAAAAAAGTATAT